CGCTTTGGGGCATTGTGCGTTTCGGGTAGCCAGATCTTGCCACAGGACGGGCTCCAACTGCGACTCGGACTCGCAGTCGGACTCCCATTCCCAGTCCCATTCCCATTGGAGGGGCGAAAAGCGAAACTAATTTGCGGTTCTGTTAGTGCAATTTCCTCTCGTTTTTCGAGACAGCTTTTTGTTATTGTTAGTGCCACACGCCCCGTACCGCCCCGCCCCGCCCCGCCCCATTCTTATGCATGGGGCATAGGTACTGATTTTTTTTTGGGACCAGCGGCACACACGCATCTCACTCTCTCCCTCCCTCCTTCCGGCCACTTTGTTCGATTTTAGGCGAACATTTTGTTTGGCTTCCGATGGAAGAAGGGAGCCTTAATTAAATCTCTGATTGAAGGAATTCACTCTCGTCTTGGAAATTAGTTTAGTGAGAAAGTTTATCAATTAAATGAAAGAACCAGACAACCATCCAGACAGGCATTGCATTTGATTGGGTTCCTATTCCTTCTCCACTCTGAGGGTCACGCAAAACACGAGACGAACGTCCATCCAGGGGGAGGCGGGAGGCTGACTTCAAAGAATATTTGAATTGCGTACAGATTTTCGGAGAAAAGATACATTTTGTTAAGCATTTATTTGGTTTCGTTGATTGCTTTTTGGGCAAATATTTTCTAGATATGTATATGTACATAAAATAAGGAATAATATGTATAGATAAAATAATAGATAATAAGTACAAAATATAGATAAATATAGAATAAAACCGATGTCTGTTAAAAGAGTTTTAAGGCACAAAACTGTAAGCTGTGTGCAAAGATGGGATTTCTTAAATTCCTTAAAGAGAATTCAATAGCATCTGTACCCAAATCAAGTCCTAATGATGTAGAAACCTTTAGTTTATCCAAGAGTATGTATAGAAAACTTTATAAATGGCACACGTTGATAATCCTAAAAGATCTGTATAACATTTTAAGGCTTTTTTATGATAATGTCATCCAAGATCTGTACTAAAACTTTAAACTTACCACGAAATATGTCAGACACTGGTTAGATTTCTTGATTGAGTATTTTTAGCCCGATTTGTAAGAAATTTGTAAGCCTCGTAGATTTTAATTTTGTCAGGCTTCTAATATTGTCCCACCATTCCACTGTATCATGTCTTATCAGAAGCCTCGTTTCAAGCCAAAAAACTATCTTTGTACCCCCTTTGTACTGTGCAGCCTTTGTGGCCCTGAAACCTTTATCTGTGGAAGCTTTTGTTGAGAGCAAAATTAAAAATGATCACCATCGTCGCGGCATGGACTCTGGATCCTTCGCTCATTGTTATGGGGCCTCTGGGCCGCACTCTGTGGTCGCCCCGTTGTGTCTCGGATCATAATTCACACGCCACACCGATGGATACTGTGTGGCAGTATCTCTGCTGCCCATTTATCCTGACCCTGCCGCAGGGCAATAATTTAAAGCGCGCTCTATTATTTATCTGAGCATATGTCAATGAAATTTATTTATTTATTTACGCCGGCAACAACAATAAAACACCCAAAAGTTTTCATATAAAATCGCGAGGATGTTAATGAGCAGAGCGCAATGGTGAGGGGGGGACGGCTGTGGCAGGAGACAGAAGGTATGGCACGCATGGTGGCATGTGCCATGAGGCATGGGGCAACAACGCGCTGCGCTGTTGACGTTAATTGACCGCAACAATTTTTTGTCGCTTTTGCAGTTGCAGTCCGCAGTAAATTTTAATGAAATTGCAGCCATTGCACACGCCCCTAGATGTGTACGTATAAGGGGGCGTGGCAATAACCTCTCCGTCCCCTGTGCATGTGTGTGTGTGTGTATGTGTGTGTGTGTGGGATAACTGCCTCAAAGTGCTGATGACATGGCTGTCAGCGACACTTCGTGCCGCTTGTTGCATGCAACACACACATGAATAGCCACAAAAAAAATTAATATAAAACTGAAATTAAATATAAAAAATAAAACCCATAAAAAGAAACCAAAGAATGATGGATTTTATGCACAGGTCGAAGGCGGAGATACTCTTGAAAATCTATAGATTCGATTAAAGATATGGAATATAGTCCAGCGATACAGATAGTTTCTTTTTAAATACTGGGATTTCGGGGGATTTATAGGCATTACTGTTGCATGTCCTTGCAGATCCAAGAATCCCTATTGCAAATAGGGTATCAATACATACAGATAGAGGGAGGGAGAGAGAGAAAGGGAGAGCTTTATACACGGTTCACTGCTCCAGCGGATAATCTATCTCGTACGAACTCTTACGCTCTGTTTCATCTCTGTTTCTGTTTCTCAGTCCATATCCCTGTTTGCCATTTTTGATGTTTCTGCATTTATAAATTAATTAAAAATAATTACTTTATGTTGCCTTTCCAATTTCATTAAAGCTGCCAATGCAACGGCAACAACAGAAGCAGCAACAATAAATAATTATGCAGCAACGACTCTGCCACACACGGAAGAAGGGAACAAAAGCCAACACAGCAGTCGCAGTGCAAGGGTTAAAGGTCTCTGACTTTAGGCTTAAACAAAAACATTTACACATATTGATATCCCTTCAATTGGGGAGCAGATTAAAGCACGATTAAAGTTCAGATTGTAAGAGGTTCTCACTGAGATGTCCTTTCAAATGGATGGCATGAATGAATCTTCAAAAATATAACTCCGATTGTCCCTACATTTCCTATATAAAGCTCATTATCTTCAAAGAACTTCCAAATGAATATTTGTACTATATGTATTGTACTTAAATTTTGTAGCACTTTTGTGGTATTTAATCTGGTATTTTCTAGTATTTTATCATTGGTGGAAGTAGTAGTATTTTAATATTTTTTTGGTATTTTCTAGTATTTTTCTGGAGTCTAGTACTTTTTTTGTCTATATTTGTATAAGTTTAACTGCATTTTCAGCTATTACTCCATAATAAATTTGTGTGGTATTTAATCTGGTATTTTTCTAGTATTTTCTGAAATGTTCTAGTATTTGATCATTGCTAGAAGACGTAGTATTTCTAGTATTTCTTCCGAAAAAGTCTAGTATTTTCTAGTATTTTTCTTGTATATATTCTTAAAAGTTGTACTGCATTTTCTTCTATTGCACCATAATTAATTTGTCTGGTATTAATATGGTATTTTTCTAGTATTTTCTGGAATGTAATAATTTCTAGAAGTCTTAGTATTTTAAAAGAATTTAGGTATTTTCTAGTATTTTTCCGAAGAAGTCTAGTATTTTTCTTGTATATATTTTTAAAAGTTGTAGTGCATTTGTATCCATTCATAAATTCTTATAAACATCCTCAAAGATCTCCAAGACTATCATTTATCTGTGCAGCAGTTGGGAGATTTACTTTCCATAGATAATACCCATAAACCCAGGCCCATTTGTATGCATAATGGACATCGTACGACCTGTGGCACATACAAATAGAGATGCAGCAACAACAACAGATACAGATGCAGATACACACTTGCAGATACAGATACAGATTCCGTGGAGTTAATGTCGCATTAAGATGGCAATCCCTGACTCCATTCGCATATAAATCCAGTTGCAGTAGCCAGACCCAACCCTCCCCACCCAAGAGGGGAAGAGGCGCTGCTGCTGCTGCTGCTGGAACGATGCCGCAGATAAATTTTGCTGTTGTCACACCTTGCAACTTGCATGCACATAAATATATTTCACCACGAGCCGCCGAAAGGTTGACACTGTCTGCATCTTTTTTTTTTTTTTGGTGTGGCAGGGGCATGCAAAAGGTAGGGGAAAGTAAGATATCACAAGGTAGCAGCAGGGACACCAACGATTTCGTATTCAGATGTGCCCCACAGCCCAGAGAGAAATATCTTCTCAGCTTTCAGCAGATTGAAAGCGAAATATTATTGAAAACCGCCACAGAGGCGGAGAGAGGGGGAGAGGGAGAGTGTAGAGCGATGTGGCACCTTCTCGGAACTTGCCGCATTTAATTTATTGCGAATATTTGATGTTCGATTTCCTCTTCGTCCTTCGGTTATCGCCTTGGCATTGACACTTTTACATTTTATTTTTTATTTTATTTTTTTTTGGCAAAGATTGCAGTTTCGGATTGTGGCAGGGACTGTGTGTGGCAGCGGGATACATGCCACAGGCGATATTTGCTTATCAACAGAGAAGCTCAGACTGGAGCCAAAATATTCGTTGGTTTTTCCTTCCGCCGGCAACAGATGCGAAAAGGCAGATAAAGTTCACATTCAGGAGGAGGTTTTAAATGGGATAAAGGAAAGGATAATGTATCCATTGGATATACATATATGTTAGCCAATGTATCTAACATCTTTCAATATGGGAACCATCTCTAAAGCAGGCAAATCTATATTTAAATGTTCTCCCAATCTCAATTAAACCCGATTGCAGATCTATCTTGAAGATTGCATGGCCTGCTCCTCGCTGGAGAGTGGAAGATCCACAGAAGAAGCGATTAACTAAAGGTCCAATCTACGTGGAAATCAATTAGCAACTGTCATGACTGGTTGGAAATCCAGAGCAGAACAGAGCAGAGCAGAGCTCCTCCATAATGCCACACAAGAAGGGACCACACACCAGGCAGGGGCAGGAGCAGGGGTTGGGGCAGAGGCGACTCCTCCTCCCTTTCAAAAGAGAGAAAGAGAGATGGCCTGGTCACGCACAGCGCACAGAAAACGAGGGACATAGATCCGATCCCCAGAGCTGCCCCGATGCTCCTCCAATATGAAATTATTCAAATGCCGCACAACATATAAATTCAGGTTAATCCAAAGCGCAGCTGGATGCCTCGTGCTGGCAAGATGGTGGGGGAGTGCACCCCCCTCACCCCGCCTGTTGATGGGGCTGGGGCGCCAGCTCTTTTAATCATTATTAATTATCCAAGCGGCCACTCCGTGGAGTATAAATCATTGGCGGAGGCCTGGAGAAGGATACCCAATCTATTCGCTGCTGTTTCAGCGGAAAATAGGGCCAAGAAATGTGGCTAATTACATGGCAAGGAAGGCATAAAGGGCCTTGCTTCATTTATTTCCACTTTGGCTACTCATCGGCGTCCATGGGAGCATCCTCCTGGCGCCTGTACAGCACGAACACATCCTTGGCGGACTTTTGAGATGAATCCCAGTTCTTGAGCACCATCCGGGCCATCTGCTCGGACACCATGAGGCTCTGACCGCGATGCCACTTGTCGGCCAGCCACATCCTGGCCTGTTCCAGGGCCGTGCCACTGCCACAGGCAGCGAAGCGGTTGTTCGTCACGCTTCCATCCTGCTGAGGGGCATACAGGTACTGTCTGTTGTTGTCGAAGTCGTGGCCAGCGAAAAGCACCGGAGCACTGGCAATCGCTGGATACTGCTGCCACAGCAGCTGCTGGGCCTTCTTGACGGGTATCTTTTGGTCCTGGTCCAGATATTTGGCCGCCAATTGATTCCTGACCCCGGCCATGATGTCCCGAACGAATACCCCATCGTGGGCACAGCAGCTGAAAGGCAAAAGGGAAGGTGGTAAAGGGAAGTCTGTGGAAAGAGCCTGGGTACGGTCTCCTACTAAATGTGATCCCCCAAATGGTACACAAGATAGTCCTCGGATCGCATGGCGATGGTGATGCCATTGTTGCAGGTGATGCCCACCAGGCAGATGTCTCCAGGGCTGCGAAAACCAAAGAATTTCGAGGTTTCAATCTGTGGTATCGGATCTGCTGTTTGCTTACTTTTCCATCTTTCAAGAGTGTTTTTCCAAGGCGATCAAGTGGAAAGGTCTCCGGGCAAATGAGCTGTGAAGAATATTCAAATTTTAAATCCAATTAGCCACAGGAGGGGGACAGAGAGGGAGGGAGAGGGAGTGTTTGTGTGTGTAAGCGATACCCAAGGCCCCTTCCTCCAAGAACGACCCCGACTCGAGTGTTGAGTGTTGATGCGCCTATGGCTGAGCAGATTAACGTGAAAAAACGTGTCACTGGTGCCGGGCCATCATGGTCGCGACGTTGGCCGTAAGCGATATTGGCAGCCCGAGGCTGTCTGTCACCAGCGCCAACGACTTGATGATGATGCTCTCGTAATGATGGCCACGATGATTGCGCGGTTCGCACAACTGGTTCGCATTGGATGGGAGGCTGCACCTGGCCCTAAAAATAGACACTTAGACGCGCAACCAGTTTGCAGAGAATCAAGACCAGAAGTCCACACAATTGCAGCGCCGCTGAGAGCATCCATTAATTAAACGCGCAGTCGTGTAATCGATGTGTTAATTAGCCAAATCGGAGCGCGGATCATCTTACCTCTATAAAAAAAGCGAATGGGGGGCACTTCAGTGCCGTGCACCTGCTGCAGAAATTTCCTTATGGCAAACACAAAAAATAAGAAACGTGACAGTGTTGAGCAACGTTTGCTTTGCTGGCAGTGTTGGTTTATGCTTTGGAGCTATCGATACCTGGAGAAATCCAACAAAAGTACTCCTTTGGCACATAAATATTGGGGAAAACACTCGAAAATTATTTGGTTTTATGGTAAATATTTTAAAAACTTTGTTTCGAAATTAATAAATACTGTAATTAGTTTTAATTATTACAGTTTCTTCCACCACTAGTTCCTGTGCGGCGATAAAGCTCTCTGTTTTCGTTGGTTTTTTCGGTGGAATCTTAATCTTTGGCATCCTTTAAGTTTGGTGAGCTCAGCGTCTTGTTGGAATAGGCACAAGCGGGCCAAGAGAAGTGTCGGTGTGAAGAGAGGACCATCTTTAGACCATCTCGCACAGAGGTCTATGCAGGCAGCGTCCAGTGTCTGCTTCAGAGCAGAGATGCAGACGGCCCGTGGCTGAAGGAGCGACTCATGTGCCGCCATGTGGATGCTACCGACTCTGAAACTGCAGCCCAGAGATCCCAAAACATCTCAAAAAATCTGTGGCAATTGTGGTCTCCATAATCTATGATAGATCCTTCATTTAACACCTGAATTGAGGTCTAAGAAGAATCCATCAAGGATGCAAGTGCAGAATCCTTTCGATTGTGAGTCCAAAGTGTGGAATAATGTCATTTGCTGTTGCTTTGCTTCTGACAGACAGACAGACAGAACAATGGCACTAACGTGTGCTTCCTCCCCCCTGTACCCCCTGTGGCCCCTTCCCCGTATTTATTGTTGTATGCATGTCTGGAATTTAATTTTTTCTGGCATTTACAAAACACTCGAGAGAGCCAGCCAGCCAAGGGCCAGCGATGACAGCAATTACCATACGATTTGCATGACGTTTATGTTTATTTTTCTTCTTCATTTTTTGCTGGCTTTTTGTGTTCTTTATTGGCCCTGTGCCTCAGGTTGATTTTTGACAGTTGCCCGACTCACTCACTCACTCGTTCGTTCGTTCTGTTGGGCTCACATTCAATGCTGAATTCGCATTTCATTAGCTTGTTATGGACCACCTACGGCCATCTCTGAAGGGAGCCTCTTGGACCGGCAGACAGACAGACCCACAGCGAAGCAATTAAGCTGGCAATCGGAAGACAATCCGAAAAGAGGTATGTCTGTCTGTATTTACAAAAGCTTTAAAAAAAGGTTAAAGAAAACAAGAACCGAACGAGTCAATGGTTCTCGAATGAAAACAAAACGAAAAGCCCTCGAGCGGTGGAGACCCTCGGAAATGTCAAGCGAATCATTAAACCCAAGGCTGAATACTTTTCGGTCAAGTACAAAGAATGTAAGACCTTCTGGTTTTTCTCTCGAAGATCCTCTTGGAAAAGTCGTTCCTTCAGCGTGTAAAGGACGCTGTATCCATTAGATCTTTAACCTCCTTTATGGGAAATCATTGATGTAGCGCTTGCCAGGTCCGCAGGTCGTCAGAGAGGGGCCACAGTAAGCCTCTTGGGGGTTTTCGGGACACCTTCCGGATACTTGCCTTTGGTCAAGTCTGCCTTCTGGGCAGCTTGTTCCTTCCCAAATGGAAGTCATGGCCTGGCTTCGGGTTTGAATATCGTTTTCTTCAATTGTTGACGCCTCGTTTGGCCTCGGAGATGTTTCTGTTGAAAGAAGTTCCATTGAAATCGAAATTCCTGCCGCCAGGGCCTCGCTGTTCTCTGATTTAACGCTGATTAATTGGCACGAAATTATTATTACAGCTTGTTTGTTGGCAGGGCCCTCAATTTGTAGTCGGACTGCAATTTGGGATCTCCTTTTGATAGCAGTTGTCTTTTAATCAGGTTTATTAAGGGACCAAGCAATCGATTTAATCTTGTGGAAAGAGTGGCAGAAGGATGGGACATGTGCTTCGATACCAGACCTTTCTCGTTCCCACGACAGTGGTTGAGTCATGAACTTCACAGATAGACCCAGACACAGATCCATTTATTACCAGAGAGGGAGAGAGTTGTACAAATATTTAACTATCTTTTCAATATTTCGAATCACTAAATTGCACAACATATCGCTTTGCAACGGGCTCCATTTATCAAAATTCAAATGAAAAGAGTTTGGCCACCAACTGGGTAATGGGTGCTCCCCCCATCGCCCCTCCTTGGCGGTTGGCAAAAACAAAGTGCAAGCCAAAGTGAATTCCCGTGGAGCGTTTAATCAAAATTTACCGGCGAACGCGTTCGCTGACAATGAGAAATTGCAACAAATTCGCGCTACACCGTCGAAAAACCTTCTCTCTATCTCTCGCGCTTCATGGCCAAGAGCAAACAGGGTCGGAAGAGGGGGGGTCGGGGAGTGCCCCCACTGGTAGTGGTGTCGATGGCAGCACAAACAAAAGCCAGAACGAAATGCAACGATCACGTACCCCAACTGGCATTTTAGGAGCTCTGTATGGAGGCACCCGCTGTTTGGATGCCTCTCGACTGGATATTGTTTTCCGACACAGCACTCGTCCTCTCTTGTTTTCGCTCTTTCCCTTTTTTTTTTCTGTTTTGTTTTTCTGGTTGTGGATATGAAAAATGATGCCGAAACAATTTTTACAACCTAAAAGCGGTAGCGGTAGCAGGAGACGGAGGAGCCGGAGGAGGAGGCCTAAACCGCCTTCAAACCACTCCAGGAATGGGCGGCTTTGGTCTCTCGGAATTGATTGATGGGAACTTTGTGCACTGCTGCATTGGTGCATCGGTGGGCGGGTTAGAGAAATGATCGGAGCGGAGTCGTGCAACATGCAGCCGTGCAGCGGCTGGCCCCAAAATCAATCTGGCTAAACGGTAGCAAATGGGCGTACAGAATGGATTGCCAGCCACTGTGTGGTGGGTGGGTGGTGTGTGGGCGGAGATCGAAACAAATCCATTGGAAAGTGAATGGAAGGAAAAGTCAAAGACAAAAATCTGCATAGGAAAAGATCTGCCACTTGGAAGGGACCTGCAGGAAGCCTCTACGGTGTGGACCTGCAGGAAGCTGCAGCTATGAATGGAATTATCCACAAAGGGGAGGGGAAATGTCATCTTTGAAGATAAGAACATGGTCTGAGGGACCTTAAGATGATTTCCATAGAAGGAGCTTTAAAGCAAAGCTCTTAAAAATGATTTTCATGCGTTATACGATTTTTAAAGGCACTAAAATCACATCTAAGAAAGATACTTTCTTCAATTGAAGAACTATACAATTTTGGGAAACATCTTTTACGAAACAGAACCACTTTGGAGACCAGAAATGTAACAGAAAAGTGGAAATTTGAAGGAGATCCATCAAAGTAGTGGCTTTTTAGGCAGGAACTACCGCTCAATGGCTTTGTAATCCACAAAATAAAGTACTTTTGGGCAATAAATATATATTTCCATGGAAAACAATCAATGATTCCCTGCATACTTATCTCTCACTCTCTGCTCTAAAAAACTTTCTAGGAAAAATTGATGAGGCAAAACCGCCAATTGAGATGGAAAATCCATGCAAAAACAATGAAAATAAACTGCGTGACCAGCGGAAAAGCGTTGAAGAGCTCCACAAAACGAGTATGCATGTATGTGTGTGTGTGTGTGTGTATATGTAGAGCAAGTCAGCCTCAAACTCTTGCCCCCTTGCCCTGCTCAACGGGTGACTCAACGACAAACATGGGCCAAACCGAAATTGGAAATGTGCCAACTAAAATAAACAGTTATTGAGTTGACTGTTTCGACACTTCCCGCTGCGATAACAGAGGGAGAGGGAGGGGGAGGGGGAGGGGGGAGGGGAAGGTAGAGAGACGCCAAACACCTGGTGGGTGGGTGAGTGGCTGAGTGGGCGGCTGATTGGCCGAGTCTTGGACTCTCCTTCTCGCGAGTCGCTCTATTAATTAAATTAAATTTCAATATAAATTCAAATGGGCAAAGCGTGCTCGCTTACGTGTTCTAATTGGGCGGGCGCTACTCCCCCCACCCCCCCATTGTGGTGTGGAGCTGGAACTGGTAGACCTAATTGTTTATTTATGGAAAGACCTCCGCAGTTGGCCTTTTGGCAACTCTTTTTCCCAGTCGGAGCTGAAAGCGGGACCCTGGGAATGGACTGGAGGCCCGGCTGGGGCTCGTGGGGTACTCTAGGGTGGGGGTGGGGGTAGCCTGTGACTTGGCATCAAATTTCATTAATCACGCAAATGCTTATCGCATGGCTCCAGCATCAGCAGCAGCAGCAGCAGGCACTAGGAGCTCTCTGCAGCAAGCACTCTCCTGTAGGAGCGGCCGGCAATCGTTGAAAGCCAGCTCTGAAAACGTGGTCATAATTTGTCTGACTTGCTGGAAAAGGCCTTTTTCGTCGGCCCCTTGGACGGGTGTGAATGCATGCCCCTTGCATGACCAGGCCCAAAACCCATCATCATCATCGTGGTCATCATGGCTAGGCGACTACCGACTGCCGACAACCGGCCTGGACTCCCTCTTATGTACTCCTCTATGCTGCATTTTCAGTGGCCTCGCCTCTGATTATGTGGCCGATGAGGCAAAAAGAGAAAGAGTTTCTGTGGGTGAAAGAGGGGGAGGTTCTGGCGGCACGAGAGGGAGTTTCTCCGGCAATAGAAGGCATAAGGAGAAGCCGATTCTGGCAGCAGAAGGGGGAGCCTCAGGAAGACGGCGGGGGGCAGGTGGGGTCGCTGTATCAGCTCTTGGCTGAAAATTTCTGTGGGTGGCTGCTGCTCGCTCGAGTGATGTGTAAATCTCTCGCTCTGCCTCGTGGCAAGGTGCTGTCAAAAGTGTAGAGTTGCCCCAACACCAGACACGAGAATGGACAGCCATTCGAAAGGAGAGAAAGGGCGCCCCGCATCCAGGTGGTCTTTGATCTTGTTTGTAACTCGCCTACCAGCCACCCACCCCCAACCCCCATATCCCAATCGCTTTGCTTTATAGTGAGGCCCCACCAGTGGAGCTCTCCAGTCAATTAAGACATTATCCGATGTGACAGTCGTAACTTGCGTCATTTAAGGCGTCACAATGTCCCCTTGGAGATGGTAACTGTATCTGGATGGACCAGGAACCTATTTTCCCGGCCGCCGCCAGACAGCCTGGCAGACACTTGCCGCTCACCCCCCCTCGTCCTGGCCATATTAGCAAGGCAAATTTCCCAAAAGACGCAATGAAATGCTGGAGGGGATGGCCATGGGGACGGGCGTGGGGATGCAATACAATCTTGAAACTCGAATAACGGAAATAAAAATTATGAGCCAGGAATATTTTATCGCTGGGGGGAAATTTGCATAAGAATAACGTTACGTTGCCGGTGGGAAAGAGGGCGCGGGGGAGGGGTAGAGAGTGGCCACAAGATTGGACCTTGAGTCCGTGGAGGGGAGACATTTTTTTGTGTACCCTAACAGAAAGGGTATTACGATATTGGGAACTGTAAGAAATGGTTTACGAATATCTTTTAGACAAAAATTTCACACTTTCTGCACTTCCTGCTCGATGATCATTCGAAAGACGAGAGATGAATTTAAATCCTGGTTTTAATCAGTTTTGGGCCTTGAAACCATTTGCCATTGAAAGTAGATCCAGTAAAAGGTTGAATAATCACAGGCCTCGGTCTTACAGTCACTGGCCTTGCGAAGAAAAAGGTCTGACAGTCACTGGCGTCGCGAAGCAAAAGGTCTGACAGTCACTGGCGTCGCGATGAAACAGGTCTCACAGTCACAGGCCTCGCGAGGAAGGGCTATCCGTACTGTCGCTCTCCCGGCTACAGATGTAGTTGAACATTCTCAGATCCGCCTTGAGGATGTACTTGCGGTTGCAGGCTTTTGCCACCGCCAGCGCCCCATGGACCGAATCCATGGCATCACCTGCAACACAACACGAGAGTCGTTCAAGAGAGTTTTCCTCTCCGCGCAATGGTTCACTTACCAAAGCACATGTTCAGCAATTCTTTGGCCAGTTCCGGGCTCACCGTGATGTTCCTGTCCACCGCATCGTACAGCAACAGATCCAAGGCCAGCTGGGACCAATCAATATCGGAGTCATCCTTGGGTTTCATTTTCTTTAAACTTTTTTCTTAATAAATTTCTATGCAGAAAATATGCAAAAAGAAGATGGACACTTGGAAGCTTGTGATACTATATCGTTCGCTGGCTATCGATAGTTCTAGAACATCTTTCGATTGGGAAAAATCCCTGAAAAATACTTGAAATCGGAGATTCTATTCTGCTCAAGGTTGCTTTTGGAAGTGTGGAAAAGGGCTCTCTTTGAAGAAAAAATCTGGTTATTCGAGTGAGTTTCTTGGTGGATGGGGCAATATCATCGGTTTTTCAATATAAATGATATTCAATCAAAAGAGACATTGAATTTGGTTTGTTTAATTTTTAACGATTAAATTGTAAGAGTCTATCGATAGTGCGTGGTATTAATGACGTCGTCATTAATCGCCAAAACAGCTGATTTAAGGCGCCGCAACTATGAGAAATATTTCAATAAGAACCAAGTGCTAAGTGAGTGATATTCTGAGCCAAGAAAAGATAGCTGTAAAGTGGCAAAGAGCAAAGAGCATACCAAATTCGTGGCCGCACAGCTGTCCTGCCTTCCTGGAGAGTGGGAGCCGAGCCGCACGCGTCTAGTCATCCGCCGGAGTATCCGTAACCGCCTTCATGGCCATGCAGTTTATTTGTTGTTTTTGTTTTGGGGGCATTGTAATTGATAAGTTAATTTACATTTTTATTGAATGGCCAACGTTGTGCTCTTTGTTGTCACGAAGGTCAGGGACTCCCACCAGGAGGTGCTTTGCATATTTACATTCGAGTGGCAGAGATTTGGAAATGTGCGTAAAATATATGGGCTTTTCACTGGCCAAGTTAATAAAACGAATTCGTGTGGCTTATGTCGGACATGTCCAAAGCTCAATTGTGTGTAAAGTCGGAGGCGAAGACGGCAAACAATTGATTCTCATTTGCTCCCATGATGAAAGAGGCTTGAGGTTAGCCAATGATTCGGAAACAAATATGCGCAGGAAAAAGTCAATTGTGGGGCAAAAACTAAGGCCACAAAAGATGCAAAATGAAAATCCATAGCAAATTGCACAAAGAGCACAACTGTAGCCAGGAAAAACCAAAAGGAAATGGAAGGTTTTCATGGACATAAACATCAAACAAATTTGAATTCTACTTTAGTCAGAGACTGGATATATCTTGATCTATATTTTTAGAATGCCGATACTTGCAGCGAAGAAATCCGAGGGCGATGAAGGGGGTTGGGCAGAACCCGAACGCGACGTCCAAGAATGCAACCCCGGACCGATCGTGGTGGAATATTATCATCGGAGAGGCGGCCGATTGGCTCCGTAAGATTGAGAGATTTTTAAAAAAATTTTAATTATTATTTTTAATCAAGTATTATATTTCTTAAAAATCTGGATTGGCAAAACCCGGGTAATCGGTTTAAACGTTTGAAAATTTGAATATTTGATAGACAAAATGAATCGAAAGACCAGGCTGCAAATGAAAGCCAAAGAAACGAAGGACGGCTACTGGAAATCAATGGAAACATGAAAGTTTTTCGATCGAAGCTGGGAACACAACTGTACCTGGAACACTCCCGTAGACCCAGGCAAGTGTCAAATGTCAGGCATGTAATTATCAATCGATCAAATTGCGAATCAATATCGCTAGTAATTCCTAATATTTTCCTTTATATCCGAATAGCAACAAAATGATTGTGGAGCCCTCGGCGGATTCCTCCCTGGACTCCGCACAGCCCGGCTGTTGTTGGTGCCAAAATCGCAAATATTGCTGCTTTGTGATAATATTTTTACTCTGTTTCATAGCATTAATATGCGTGGCCGTGTATTTCGGACAGAAGCGTTAGCCACAGGACACTCATTAAACATTTAAAGGGTATGGGGTACCCCCTCGCCCCCCACCACCAAAAGATTGTAGATACATCTTTCAGTATGCAATGGTTTTCACTTGGTTTTTGGTTTGTTTTTCTTTTGGAGGGTCCGATGGCTATGCAAAGAATCGGATCGAATCGAATCGAATCGAATCGAAATGCATTCGGCGTAAGGCATGGTACGGAATGGTATGGTATGGAATGGTATGTATTCCGTGTGCCATCGGGCCAGTCGTGCATGAAAAGTTAACGAGAATTGATGTTCCATGTTTCGGCAGGGCAAAACAAAGCATAAATTTCTTCCACTCTCTCTCTCTCTCTTTCCCTCCATCAGGCGAGATGCTCCACAGCCTCCCCTGCCCACCCCCCCCCCCCCTTTTGTCCGCATTTGGCAGTTTTTACATGCATTTCGAATGCAACTCTGCCCCGCGATATATGTACGTATCGGTGGGGGCCAAGTATATTGTGTTGCACTGGCCCTTGGCTGTACACCCCCCTTCCGCCATCCTACCCCACTTTTGTTGCTCCTTTCGCAGACGACGACGACGACGCGACGTTGCATAAATTTTCAGTCAACAAATTCAATTTGCGTAACGCATGCGGATACCCCATGAGTGTGGGGCAGGGGGGGCTACCCCACGAGTGTATTGTGAGGGGGGGGACATGGTTTTTAAGGCTGAAAGGGAGTAGAGTGCTTTTTAAAAGTATTTGCAGTATTTGGCAGCTGGTGGATAACTTTTGGTCTGCAGAGTGTTTGATTACCACTTGAGGCAGTCAGATCCGAGCAGTGCGTGCCTCGTGCCTGGTGCCTCGTGCATCACGCTTACAACTCTAACGGCAAGACTGCGGCCCAATCAGTGTCGCCTCTAATCCGCACCCTCGGGCTCTTGGCTGCATGCAAATCGCCTCGTTGACTTGTGGCCGCAGTGGGTGGCGTCTGTGTCTCTTCTGATTTGAGTTGATGAATTGCAACTGTGGCAGGCAAGGAGAGACCATAGAGAGAGCCACAGCTCGAGCCCGCACCTAGATAATCTCTTTTGAGCTGATTACGTGGACACCGGAGCAACAAGGAAGGCACATGGCGATGCAACGCTTAGAGGATGTGCGGTTGTGCAACATGTTGCATGTGGAAAATACTTGAATGGATTATGCTTTCATCAATGATTTAGCTCTGGACAGCGGGACTGCTCACTCGATGGGGGAATGAATTTGTAATCCATTTTGCAGCTAATATTCGTGCCCATCAAATATTTATTCGTATTTCGGTGCAAATTTGCGCGCAAACAAAAGCTGGCCAAAACCCAATTAAATGGCAATCATTACACCCGGGGGGGTGGTAAGGGGGGCGAGTGCGGGGTTTTCTGCTCAATTAGTCGCTGCTCCAAATCGAAATCAATCGCCCAATCGCTGCGGCCAGTCGCCAACTGCCACTCTGTGCCACTGCACACGAGACGCGGGATGCGGCACAGTGGAGAGCCACAGCTGCCTCGGCGGCTGCTGCCCCGTCAATTGAGCGCTAACAAAGATAAATGGCTGAAGCCACAAAATTGATTTGGTTGACAGATGAATTGTGGAGTCCCTACTGTCCCCACTGTCCCCACTGTCCCCCCGTCCCCTGTCAAAGCTCTGCAACTGCAACACGAGCTGCAACAATAAATGCCGGTCAACGGGAATAAAATCAAAAGCATATTTTTCCATCATTCATTGAATGAGCGAAAATATTTCGAAATAAAATGTTTAAAATTTCCAAAGGAGAAAAACCGGGGTTAGAGAGAGACCGAGAGAGAGAGAGAATTGGAGAATATTGAATGAAGCACTTAAATGCGTTTCAGCCCGCGCTCTCGACAACAAAAGCGCTGCCTGCCAGTCGACTGCCAAATGCAATTACGTATACGCCATGGATGCCACATGCGAATCCGTGGGCCGGGCGACGGGCGCCGGGCGCCGGGGGGTGCCGGTGCCGGTGCTACTGCCAATTGACACTTTGACGCATAAATCAACTTTATTGTTTATTGATTTTTATGTTTGCTCTCTGTATGTTTTCTCTGTGTGTCATATTTTATTAAATCTTTTGTGTGTGCCTCCGCCTCCTCCTGCCAGCCCGGAACGCGGCTGGGGTTCATCTCGAGTGGCCCCCCTCTCGACCCTCGCTCTCTGCCGATTCTCCCCTTTGAGGTATCTTTTTTTGCGATTTCTGTGTCGACGCTGGCTCGCTGTTATTTATTTGAATTTATGCGATTTAAATGAAATTGGTTCATTGTTTGCCGATGCTGGGCATCACTCAATGCAGTCAATACTTTTGCGCGATACCCTGTACTTGGTGGAAACAAAGGGTATATAGGACTAAAGGGGATAAGTGTCGAGAAAGGAAAATAATATATAAAATAATATAAAAGAAAACTCTTCCCCTTCGAAATTTCTGTCATTGTCTTGGGCATTTCTTGTGGACTCTCTCTGGCCGGCAATGCAAGGGTATTTCCCCCGCCCCTTTTCACCTTTTTTCTGGTCCTTTTTCCTCCTTGCATGTGTGTGTGTGTGTGCACTGCGTCGCTCTGGACATGTTGAACAATTCATAAATCGATTAAAGATTTTGTCTGGTTCTTTTATTTCTTGGTTTCACTTTTTTCATACAAAAAGAAGAACGGAAAATGCGACACACTCGAGTGTGTGTGTGTGTGTGTGTGTGTGTGTGTGTGTGTGTGTGTGTGTGTGTGTGACAGTTTGTGGCCTTTTATTCAGCATGATGTGGGCTATTCGCTGATGGGTTGTTAAGGGGAGGGGAGGCGAGGTATATGCATATTCAGGTGAAATAATAGATAGGGGAAGAGGTTTTGGGATGTTTTTGGGAAACTATAAGACAGAATCGAGGATAAAACGAGAAAGAAACGATTAGAAAGCGCGGAAGAAACGATAAAAAAAACATGGAAGAAACGATAAAGAAACGATGAAGGAACGATGAAGAAGCGATAGAGAAACGATGAAGAAACGATGAAGAAACGTTAGAAAAACGAGGAAGAAATTATGAAGAAACGAGGAAAAAAATGGTAAAGAAACGAGGAAAAAACGACGAAGAAACGATAAAGAAAGGAGGAAACAACAATGTAGAAATGAGGTAGAAACGATGAAGGAGTGATGAAGAAACGAGAAGGAAACGATAGAGAAACGAGGATGAAACGACAAAGACCCGAGGAAGACGCGGGGAAGAAACGATGTAGAAACGAAGAAATAACGATTAAGAAACAAAGAATTAACGAGGAAAAACGATCAAGAAACGATTAAAAAAACGATGGAGAAACGATTAGAAAATGTGGAGGAAACGATGGAGAAACGATAGATGTGGAAACCAGGAGAAACGAGAAAGAGATAAAAGGAACCCCATTTATAATACTAAGACTTTACTTAACGGTTCTCCTTTCAGCTGTATAAATGCAATCCATGAGTACAGGTCTCCACAAAATATTCTACTGTTTTGTAATATCTCTACAATTTCCGTACGATTTCCCCCTTTGCCATCATTTGCTCTTTTCCCAATGCTATCATAGAATTTCATTAGGTCAAACTTTCAACTCTCTCCCGCCCCCTCTCTCTATTCAGTTGGTGAAAATCATTCAGTTATTCAATCAAAGCTCAAACCAAAACGAATTCATGACCCCAACAGCCGTACCGGCACCGGCATCGGCATCGGCACTGGCCAAAAAGTCAACTGGAAACGCTTTTGAAATATAATGGGAATTCCGTAGAAAGTTTTACGCAAAGCAAAAGCAACTGTCAATGCCCCCCACCCCCCCCGAAAAACTTTGTCTTGCTGGAACAAAAGGCATGGCTGGAGGAGGCTCCACTCTCTAGGATTCGATGCCAATACAAATTAAAATTTAAATGAGCTTCTTCTCGTGCTGCTGCCCCTGCCCCTGCTCCTGCTCCTTCCCCCGCTCCTCGGCCATGTCCATATTGACACGTGACAAAAGTTGAGGCTGCCAATAAGATACGAAAACAGTGGGCGGCGTCCTACGCCCATGCCAATGACCTCCTCCTCCTTTGGCGAAGGCGTAAAATGTTTGAAACAATTTCAATAACCATTTCCTATTGGGTCGTGGAGGGGGCGGGGGAGGGGGAGGTCGCTGCCTCTAAGCCAATAAAAGATAGAAACCAATCTGCGCGGATGTCTGTCTTTCTGTCTGTCTGCCTTAAAACTGATGAAAAATTTGTAAATTTAATTGGAAAAATTCTACTCAATGAATGAATATTCCCGCGACCACGAACACCCCTACCTCCCCTCCACCATGCAAATCGATTTCGATTTTTGTTTGTTTCAGTTTCAGTTTCGGTTTGCGTTTCATTCGCTCGTTGGTTGGAGTCTGAGTCGGAGTTTGAGTTATATTTGTAAACAGGGCCGTGTAATTGAAAATGCCCCAGGTCTAAATATTTAATTGTGTTTTTCTATATATGTATACGCGTACATAAACTCGATGGATACATTGATGTGGAAGCAGGCAACAGGCACGACCATTTGCCACTGGAACTTTTCCGATGAAGCGGCTGGTGCAAGGTATAGTCTCTTTCAGGGTTCAGGAGGCCTGACCTCACCTTCTCCACCCTGGCCCCTGCATTAGCTCTGAGCATCCTTTGCGCTGCCAATGGGAACTTTGTGCTTCCTTCCTGTCACTGTCACTGTCGCTGTTACGGCATCGCATCGCTTCTGTCCAAAGGGTCGATTCTGTTAAATCTGTTGTGCTAATATGACACACGGCCACGCAGCTTTTTTCGAACCGGAAAGGCTCTCTTCCACCTTGGCTGTTGCCTGTTGCCTGGTGCGTTGCATCCTTTCCGTTCCGTTCCGTTCGCATGTTTTGGTTTTAATCTGCGACACAGCATTAACTTTCCAACACGTAAATTGCTTCAGAGTTCGAGCTGCTGCTGCTGCTGCTGCTGCATACCCGAGGCCATGATGATGATGTTGCAACTAGGCGAGGTCCCTGCCACAGTGCCACTCCGCCCTCTGCCTCCTGTGAGCTCTGAGCTGGTA